ATAAATTCGATAATGTCCTCCTCAGGAACAATTTGGTCACCAGGACCATATAAAAATAAATAATTAACATTTCTGCCATCAAACGCCCCACCGGGAATATCGTTCAGAACTTTATGTGCCAATGTTTGGTACCTTTTTATAATAGGAAGAGTAAAAAATATTGATAAGATATTGATTAAAATAGTCGGTGGTTTCATTGGTTGGATAACATCATTTTTATGTAAGGGATCAGAGGCAGTAGTTAGTGAAGAGGTTTTATTTAAGAAGCCACCCATAATGCCTAATGCAACATATTTTTCATTAATCGGGGAAGGTGCAGAATCTATAACACAAGATTTTATAGAATCTAAAAACAACTCGGCATCAGTACTTGATATAGAGGGTGTATTTTTTTTGGAGAAAAGTATGTCAGAATTATCAGAATTAACATTTGCTAAATTTCTAATAGCCTCGCATAACATAGCATAATGGTAAGTACCATTATCACTAAAAACATGGAAGCCAATATTATTAGGTCTACCACGTTCAATCCAAACACCGATTAATTCTTTGGCGAGGCGGATAACATCATCAGGGACAATCCAGGGAAAAAAGAGATGATAAAATGGTGGTATATGAGACAAAGTATCCATATGAAATTTTTCAGTGTATAAAGAGATATATTTACGTAAATTGCTCAATTTGCAATTCCACCAACCAATTATGATCACTAAAGAAGGTTTATTAAAATCATTGTTTTGTTTTTGATTAGCATCAGGAAGGGCGGAAGACGATTGAGATGTAGAATTATCGAAATTTGAGGGTGGCTCGCTAGATTGCGAGGAAGGATTCGAAGATTGATAAACAAAAGTTTTAGATATGTCCTTAAGATCGTAAATTGTTGAAATATTACGCTTGTGACAAGCGTAGTTGAATGTGCATGATCCATGATTGATTAAATAATTTCGAATCCGAAATTTTGATTGAAAAAATGTAGAACTATAATATCGACGAGACGTATGTTTAGAATTTATTAGAGTGGTCGAAATGGCCACAAATAAAATTTTTCGTTGATACATTCACATTCAGTTTCAACGGATCAGGAAATTAAAAAAAAAAATAAAATCCTGCTTAGTGATACGAATCGAAAATCGATTAATCGAAAAGTTCAAGTCGGCAACTAGTCGATTTAAAACTCGAAGCAAATGTTTATCCATTTAAAAAAAAAAAAAAAAAAATTCTTTAACGAGTAATCTTCAAATCTATCACACCAATCGGAAGGTAGATTATTCATGTCACAAAAATTTGCAGGACGTGATCTACAAGCCATTCAGGCTACGTATATATTAATTTTATTCGGGATCTAAAAAGACGAATTTTTTATAATTATAATAATCAATAGCCCGACTGAGTGGCATGTATACACGTCACTGCTAATTTTTGTGACATGACTAGTCTACCTCCAATAGATATGAGGATATGACACAATTCAAACTCAGAGGTATAAATTTAATCTCCAGCCCGGCCTGTAGATTAATGATGGTTTTCATAAATTCTGGGACATCTGGTAAAAAATTGACCGACCGAATATTTGCCGATTCGATAAGTTTTGATTCGGCAGTGACCATCGCCGAAATCACAAACTT